AATCACAGGAACAACGGGTAGTCTTGGAGGCCATATACTTTCATGCCTATTGAAATATCCGCAGGTCTCTAGAATCTACTGCTTGAACAGATTATCTCCAGGCAGCGCTGTGACTGATAGGCAAAGAGATATGTTCAACCAATTCGGCCTCCCTCTTTCCCCGCTGAATACCGAGTCAAAATCTATCCGGTTTATTCAGGGTGACTTATCGCTGGATACTTTGGGGCTCGAACCTGAAATCTTTATGAATGTAAGCTGCACTTTTCCATTGCATACTATGCTTAGAGCTTGACAATTTTTTTTTTCTGTTGTCCATCTGCAGCTCCGTGCGGAAGTTACGCATATCATTCATGTTGCTTGGCAAATGAACTTCAATTTCAAAATTGAAAGTTTTGAGAACGTTTCTATTGCTGGTGTACATCACCTCATGGACTTCGCACTTTCCTCTACCCGAGCAAACTACCCAACATTTACATTTATTTCCTCAATTGGAGTAGCGGGAGTATCATCAACACCGGTGCCGGAACGGATGATACCCAATGAAAATGCGTCTACAATCCAGACTGGATATTCCCAAGCTAAATTTATCGCAGAACGATTGATTGAACAAGCAGCAAAAGATACTGGAGTGCCATGCAACATTATCCGATGTGGGCAAATTTCAGGATCTACTAAAAATGGTGCATGGAACATCAATGAATATATTCCAATATTATTGCGGTCGAGCAAGCAGATTGGGCTAATTCCTGAATCATTTTCGGTATGATCATTGGTTATACCTAATATCCTAACTTCTAACATGTTCGGGGCCATGTGTCAGGATATCCGCTGGGTTCCAGTAGACTTTGCTGCTGATGCTATATCCCAAATCGCGCTGGGACCCGGCATATCTAGCAACGACAGCTCAGTATCCTATTGGCATATAGAAGCTCCTTTGTCCCAACCATGGTCACTGGTGATGGAAAATATGATTAGAACCTCGGACCATGTCATTAAACCAGTTACCTTGCGCCATTGGCTTGACACTGTAGTTGAACGGGCTTCTGCTAATGTGCAGCCTGGTTTGCTGCCTGCCGTTAAACTGATTGACTTTTTCAGTCAATATGACAGCCATGCAGGCGCAGCATTACCAGTTTTGGAAACTATATCGACCCGTACTACCTGGCCACAAATAAATCTGGAAAATGGAATACAGTGGATTGATAAGTATATTGCTTACATATTGTCCTACTGAACAAGGTAATTCATTTCCCTCTTTTCCCTCTTCAGCATAGCAGGAATGACTACTGACTAGATGACAGTATAGGGGCTCGGCCCTGGTCATATAATAGTCATGTATGACAGCCGATGTACAGTAGCGTGGCTTCTGTTCACTAGGGATTACCCGCAGATGTTCATGTATGTACAGATAAACATAGATCATTCATGGAAGGGTCATATATTGCGGAATTCAGTTTTACCACCCACAACTAAATATTACAAATCCAATTTAACATCCTCTTAATAATGCTCTTAATCCCAGGTAAGTTCAGAACGTCGATTTTCACCATTTTTGGACAGTTTTACAGATAGCGACAAGGGGTCTACTGCCCAAAATATAAAAGATCTATTCAGACACTCGCTCCCCGTTCCCCCAGTGTTGCAGAACGGTATCCCATTTCCCGGAAGAAGTGCTTAGCCTAAGCTCTAAATTGAGCAAAACGACCAACCACGACGTCGTATTCGGATTAATTCGGGTGAAGTCGTGTATAGATTAAGGTGTAATCAAATGTAAGAGTTAAAAAATTAATCAGAACTAAAAGAAAGTACTATCCGTTCATGAACGAAATATATCATCATACGCCGGTGGCAACAGTGTCGCGGAATCCGAGCTCTCCTCGGGAGCATTTGTTTCCAATGCACGTTCCATCGTAGGACGTACGCCCCGCCACTTTGGATCTGAGGTACCACCACCACGACGTTTTTCCTGGGTTTCCTGGGCAACCTCCTCTGAGGTCGGAGTCATCGTCGTTGTGACGTAGCCGGTGGCACTAGTAGTAGTACTGGGTGTCATAGCAGTAAATGGTACCATCTGAGGGTCTGTAGTGACTCTTCCAGTAACTCCACTTCTGGCCCCCGTTGCGCTCACCCGCCGTCGCCGCCGTCTACAGCAGATCATGATAGCAAGTACCACCGCAACCAGGGCCGCCAATCCGCCCAGGAGACCACCTAAGAAGGGTTTTAAAGGAATTCCGCTACTTGAGGTCGAAGTTTGTTCAGGTGGAGTGGACGTCACTGGGGACGTCACTGTAGAGACGACTGCAGCTAAACTCCCTGACACAGAAACGCTCGTAGTCACGACTTCCGTTGAATGCCCTGATGCAGAGCCTGTACTCGTGGACACAGCAGAGACTATGTCTGAACTTCCTGATGCTGCAGCAGAGGTATTCGGCGCGGACGATGTACTTCCAGCTGGACTATTTGATGGAGTGTTCGGTTGAGTGCCCGACGTACTTTGAGAGTTCGGTGCAGGCCCTGGCGGAGAAGTCGAACTTGTATCGTCCTGGACTTGTAGTACAAACGACGCCACGGTAAGCTGCGAATTCCCATTTGCGAATCGGTTGTCCAACTGGTTTGTCAATATCACAGTATGGATACCAGGTGTCGAAAAGGTTTTTGACCAAAGAACAACCTGAACGTTCTTAATACCATTGCGGTCGTAAGCGGTAAAGTTAAGCAGACTTACCGGCGGATTTTTACCGTCGTCCGTCGCGTTTAGTGCATCGATAGTCTCAAACCCGGCTGAAGCATCTGCGTCGCAGTCAACGCAGACCGCATACAATCCCCCACAGCATCGTCGTATTCCGTAATAGTACACAGCATTTGCAGCCTCTGAGACGTGATTCTGTCAATCCCAATCGTCCCAAGCATCCCTTTGCTGAAAGGCGACTTACGAGGAAACTCTAAACATGTCTCTCAACAGGGAAAACATGTTAGCTTGGGAGAAGTACTCACTGAAGGTGACGTTTGCGGTATTATCTTTTGTTGAAGATAGAGTACCGCTCTGTCCAGTGTTCGTTGCATCGTAGGTCCCATCAATGAACCAAGCATTCGAAGAACTAGCATACTGGAGATGAGTCTGGTCTTCGTTGCTGAAAGTGACATTCTGGAGAGACATTGGCAATCCACCTTCCACCTCGTGAGAGGGTATTGGCTGAAAGTGCTGGCACTCCAGTAGCGGGTTGTTGGGGCGAAGAAGGTTTGATCATCAGATTAAAGATGGGGCAACGCTAATCGGCTAGAGCAATGCATACTGTAGATGCCAAGAAGCGTCGTCCAAAGGCCAAACCCTGATACTTGAGAGTTTGTCTGACCACAGTTCAAGGCATGTCAGGTCAGCATGTGGGGGCATCGGTGTAGTTTTACCGTTTTCATTGAGACCGTACCTAATATTAGTCCATCAGTTCTACTCGGATGAAGCAGTGTGATCAGTAACACTCACTTTTGGCGTTGAGTTGATGTTCATACTAGCTGTCAGATAGAAGCTAAACCAATTATTCTTGGCTGTCGTCGCAGAAACGTCCAGTCCTCGAAGGAGGTGTTCAAGGAGGAAGATGAATAGATGGTTGCTTGATCCCCACGCGCTTCTCCCACGATGCACTCGCGGCCCAGCAACTGCGACGGATTCCGGAATGATGATTAGTAAAGAGAACAGTACTTATTCTTCCAGCTTCTCTAAATATTTTACAATATAGCGCCCTTAGCCTTGACTAAAACCGCTCTCTTCCCGTGTTGAAATCTTCTTTCGGTTCCAGACCGCCATAGGTTACATTTCTGGGCCGTACAAAAGGCCTCACAAAGCCGTCAAGAGATGATGAAGAATTAATCGATGGTTGGCAGCCTGTGACTCGCAACATAAATGACAACATCAATCCCCTTTACCTGGGCATGGCACATTACCTTATCCCTCAAGGGATTATCTTTCGATGTGCCAGTAGCAGGGATCATCCGCTTTGATCAACATTTATAGCTACTCACATCTTAGTGAGAGTCAACTTACCGTACCGTATATCGCATCGGCATTTGCTAACCAACCCGTTATGTGCGGTAAGATTCCCCCTGTCAACTATCACACTGACCGTCATTCAATGACGCACCGCTTGGAAGCGATAAACGTCCGCCCTCATTGAAATATCTCTTACGGGGCTCGACACAAGCTCGGTATCATCTCATTTGCAGACTTAATTTAGGAACGGCAGTGTTTCTGCTGCTTGGAGACTAATAATCTCCATGCCGAAGGTTGTCTATAAAATGCCGTGAGGTTCCCAATCGATAACCTTCGAACCAACACTCTCTTTCGTCACCTCAAACCCCCAGCTCTTCGCTTGGTCCCAAATCCTTTGAGAGCTCGCTGTAATCATGAAATTCTTTTCCGCCACCATCGTCGCTATTGTCTGCGCCCTCCTCGTCGTCGCGACACCTGTTGAGAAACGAAGCGACAGCGACTCGGTGTGAGTCTTCTCTCCCCAATGATCAAGCGTTAACTAAAATCGATCTAAGTGCTGCACGAGCCGGTGACTCAAACCAGCACCAAGCAGACTGGTGATTCTTCATCTCAACCTCGTAGATCATTCTTTCCAAAAATTTTCTGCTCAGAGGTGAGCGTGATTTCCCAAGGTAATGCGTTATTTTGTCCTTGACAACCTCTCCATTAGGATTGCGTGATATTGTGAAGGCCCCGGATTTTTGTTTCTCTTTTGTTTTCCATTCCGTTGGACTCGACCAGTGTCATTCCTTTAGTTTTAGCACTGTGTTTCTTTAGTAGTTTTTCTCGTAGCTCGAAGATTTCTTAGAATTGTACGCAGTCTGTTATTCAACGGTAAAATCTCTCAAGCGCTACACGTACCGGTACCATGGGCCCTAGGGATGAACTGAGTAGCTTCTTATATGTACGACATTTGGAGCTCGTATAAGAAGCTCCAAATCCGGTAGCTGGTGCAACCAGGACTGCCGGTGTGATCGGTCTAATAGTGTAGAGGTTAGCACATGGGATTTTGATATGGCCGCCGACTTCGAGGCCCTAATTTCCCATAACCCAGGTTCGAGTCCTGGTTAGACCTAGCTTTTTCGAAACACTGATCCATGAATTCTTCTATTACTTTCGTGAGTATTCAACAAGCGATGTGTGCAAGCCGTTTGAGTTACAGATGTTAGGTACGCTATAGAAACCACGACAAGGTCGCAGGCGATTTTCACCCATGATATTCGGGTATCTGCGTTTTATCATTTATACAATTGACTCGGTGTCATTATATGGATGTTGAGCTATCGCACGAACAAGCAGAGATGAGTGAGAGAAACATCGGCGGAGGTTCTGGCCTGTACTCACGATCATAAGGGAATTTTCTAACGTCTATGTCGCCGCGGTAGGCCCAAAAGTCAGGGACAACAGACGTCTGAGCGAGAGAACGTTAGCACTGTCAACGCTTGTCGAAGAGCAGAGGGGGGAGGGCTCACCAAGTTCACCAATCCTTTGGAAAAATCGGCTCCAAATGTATGGACCGCTTGCACGCCGCTATCGTTATAGTCGATCCGAACAGTCTGACGCGAGTCTCTTGACGGGTCGTGCAGAAGGTAATTGTGTGGCAATATTTGCATGGACCCTTGCGCGGTGGTGAACACCGTGTTGGGAAGATCTCCGGTATGGGGGACGTGATGCATGCCTAGGTTGAACCAGACGACAATGTCCTCCTGATCCAATGATTCCCCGTCGAAAAACGCTGAAAAGTCTACCACAGGATTGGCCGGATCGTAATCATTATTGGCGTTCGATGCGTGAGGTTCTGTGTCCTTCTGTCTGGTCACATAAAGCGCGTGAGTAGCAAAATTCATGCTGTTGATGAGGTTGCTCGAGTTCTGGATAGTGGCGAACATTCCACTACCTTTCGAGGGCATAATTCGGTATCCACGGGGTTCTCCAAACTCGTTGGTCACGTTCTTGTTGACGACCATGAACATCGAGCGAGCATTCTGCGGCCAGTGAAGTTTGGCATCGTCCTCGTTGTCGAGGTAGCCTCGGAAGAGCTTCATGGTACTCCTCTCCATTCCGTGGGACCAAGGATAGGTAGTCGTAACTGGGGCAACGGTGTGGTTGGCGAAAGAGTTGGAGGTACCGAGAATGTCGAGATCAGCTTTGAAGGTCAGGACGTGGTCATGCATGGATCCGGAGAGGCCGTCGTGGATGTGATAACCTGAAGGATGAAAGTGAGGACTAGATTCCGGATTAGAAGGACAGAACTGAGAGACTGACCGTAGTCTTCATTACCGTAGTAATGGGCAGATTGGATATAGCCGCTAGCACGAACTGTAACCTCGACGGTGCCGTCAAGGTAGAAGGAATAGTCAAACTGGAAGAATATGAGGGCCAAGAAATAAAGGCATTGGGAGACAAAGGAACATACGTTATAATCATAGTTTCCAACAGTGCTCGCAGAACGGACTGTGAAGGCAATGTTCTTCGTCGATGAAACGTAGGCATCATCAGAATGGCGTTGGAGCAAGTAGCCTTGGTCATTCTCGAAAAGACATATCCTGGCAGAATGTGAATCGAGGGCACTCCAGAAACGGAATGGGCAACACACGAGTTGGGATGCGTTGTGCTAACTTCTTCGGCATGGAACGTAGAGTTTAAGAAGGTCGCGTAGGTCGGACAATCGTACCCAGCAAGCAGCTCAAAAGCGTAAGGGCCAAAGCCGTAGAACTGACAGATTAACGTGAGGTCAGTGTGTATACGCTTTCGAATATGTACGCACAGTATCGAGATACGCGGTTCCGCTCTGCACTGGATCATTACCGGCATAGTGAGCAAGTGCCTCCTCTGAGATAATGAAACGTTAGAAAGGCATATTTTCAACTGGAGGGATAATACCTAGTCCCAGTTCATAGATAATTCGTTCCCCTCGGTATCTGATATCGAAGAGCCTCATACCGGTGTCTCGACGGAAAGCAATGTAAAAGGAGAAGTCCACTGCGTTTACGGTCAGCTAGTATCATCAATCTATGTGAAGAAAGCACACGTACTCCATTCGACATATTTGTTCTCAACGTCAACTTTATACCTGATCCCATCCTCTCCAGAAGGCGGGACCATTACCGGAGGCGGTTTCTCACTGGCCCACATCGTACTATTTGCGCCCACCTCTGTAGTTGGTCCTTGATAGTCTGATCCGATCCAAGTACCCTCCAAGTTTAACGCATTCTTTTTCAGTTCCCCAGTTTCCCAAGCAGCACGGAAAGCTTCGGTCGAATTGTAGAAAACGTCTCTGTAAAGCCAGCCAAGGACCGACCAGCCAGTAGGGTCGCGACCGGTGGTGTTAAGCTCGAAATAGAGCCCCTGAGGCATCAACGTTTCGCCATCGAATATTGAGGAAGGTATACGCCAGAAGGTGACCCACTGGACAGTTACATTCGGGGATGGATGCCAGAGTGGGTCGATGCCCCAAATGTCGAGATCATCGTCGTCACCTCCTGAAGCAGTCTGGGAAAAAAAATGATAAGAAGGCGGATCTACGAAGCATATGTTAGGGCTGTCATACTCCATTCAATAAATCTGTTATTATATCTTGAATTGATGCGCTAACGTTGTACTTGACAGAAGAACGTATGAGAAACGAGTAAACCGAACAACGAGAGAAATCTTACCATGAACTCAGTAGTAAGATCTTCGTCCGCATCATAGTTCCGCTGATACGTTGTACCTTTCGTCGTGAGCCAATCGAGAGAGGTCAAAACCGAGTTGTCGGAGATGGGAAGAGGTCCAATCTAGGTAAAGATCGCTTTTCAAACATGTTATGGTGCGTGCATGCCCCCGTCTGCGACTCACCTGATATTCAATGACATATGGTTCCTCCGTCGCACCGACCCAAATTGCCGCTCGAGCCCACCGTTCGGGTTTACCCTGGTCACTATCAACAAACGGCAGAACATCCGTCTTATTAGGCGTCAAAACCTCTACCCGCATGATACTGTTGTCCCAACTGAATAAAAGGCATGGAGAACGCGTTTCAATCATTGACTGGAGATTGAATAAAAAATGGATAAACGCACCTTCCAGCATCCGAAGCCGCAGTCAGGTTCAGCTCCGTTTGGTTGTGTAAGAACGCGATGACATCCGCAGCTTCATCATTTGTCAATTCCTCCCAGATATTCTCGTATGGTGCAGAGACGTGTGGGGCAGATGCTGACCATCCGGTTCCAGTGAAGCTACCCGATACTTGGGACGAATATGACGAAGGACGTTTGGAAGCAAGGTACTTGGCTTGTTTGGAGGATGGGTGGGAGACACGAGGTACTTTCGCGTCACATTTGCCTGCCAAAAACAATGTGAAAACGGTGGCAGTCAACCCCTTCAGAAGCAGCATCGAGGAACCAATGAGGGTGCCGATAAATGTTCAATCTGAACGGCCATGGCTTTTATTGGGCAGGACCCTGTTCTTGGAATGAATTTTGAAGCGTGACTGATATCAAAAGGAACATATGGTCGACAGAACATATCGCTGTATGCCGACTACTTCCGGCATAGGTACTGCGCCACATAGCGATAACGCGTTCATTACAACCCGACAAACGCAAATTCAGCCCATAGAGATTGAGAAATAGATCGGAGGGATGCCTGAAAGTTTCGGTAAGAGCTAAAAGTGAAACTTGCATGGGGATTACCTACTGAACTGCCTAGCCATAGGAAGGTTCTGATCTCTTCGTTTTGAGCAGGCTTCAAAAATGGCTGTACAAAATATCTATTAACAGATTCAAAACTCTTGCTACCAACCGCTAACCCCTTTGAATTCCAAGCCCAAAATGAAGCCATAGATTCCGACCATTCTTATCTGCGAAACGGATGACGGAACTGCAAGACATATTTCTGCCTGTTCCGCCTAGTACGCGGCCGCCAGCAAACGTGCAGATACCCCGATGTGAAAATCATTTCAGGAATGCGATAAATGAACAATAGATCACAGTCTGTCGAGATCTTCATGCCTGACCATATTGGTGCAGTTTTTCTCTGCTATCGATAAGGTAGTTACCATTCAACGGTTCTATGACACAGCGGAATGCGAATATGGCTACGGTAGAGCTTTGAACCAAGGAGGCACTTGCGGAGAAGACAAAAAAGATTACCACTATCATGGCCGCCAAGATTCGAATATCACAGTGTTCGCTCACCTCGCATGCTTCGAGGGCATAGCAAGAGAAGACATACCGTAGCGAATGGTTTATACCACTGCATATCGACTGCGGGAATTGTTGTTAGGGGAGTTATAGTGTGCTAGATTGGTAAAGAACAATCCAGCGACGGGGAGAATACTAACTCTTAACATTCACGGAGTATACCGACTCGAGAGTCAGAGCGCTAACTTAAACACTGGGTCTGGGAACCGCATTCGGACCGGATTACCGTTCCAGTAGCGTCGGGCCGGCGGGAACCCATCTTGGTCGTCGCACCGGTTGTTTACTCCCAGCTATTAGCTAGCAAGGTTTTGATTCGACTGAAAAAGTCTGCATAGAGAGCAGGGTTTAAAACCTTAAACTTACAGGGAGTATTCTGTGCTGTTCACAAGCTTGCTTCAATTCATCGTATCACCACGCCGCATAATGATAATGGGGTCTCCTGATACATCTCTCGTACTGATCGGCAAAATGGTAGGAGCGAAATTTAGTTTGGCATGATCAGTATTAGCAAAACTGTAAGACCTACCCAACTTTTCGTTCTCCACTAGTTCATCGCCCTCTGTGAATGTTCACTTCCTTTTCTCAGGTTGATTCGCTGGATATCATTGCTACGCAATCGCTGCGAATCAAAAACCATTGACAACATCGCCCTGGTGGCGTGGGATACCCACCACATGATTTTGATTCGCGTATCGCGTCCATCCCAAGGTCGAGGCGCGTCGAGCAACTGTTAGTGAGGGATGTATTTCAAGCTAAACGCGCAGAGCAGATATTCTGAACCCAACTCAACATTAGGATTGGGCAAGAACTATGTACACCGTTTTTAATGCAATATGCATCGTCAAAGGAGTTACCCATTGATGGAGGAGGAGAGGAGAACGAAGAGCAAGAT